CATAACAGGTCGTGTTGTCCTTGCACATGTCCAATCTGGGTTTGATCTCCTGCACCAGATATGATCTCCTAAACCTGCCAGAAGTGATCCTTGAGCACAGAGCCAGGAGCAAACCCTTAGCACAACTGGTATGGCTCCAAGAACCAAAACAGACAAACAGAAAAAACAGTGGTGGAAGATCTTGGATATTTTGGTGGTGCTGAAGGTGCAATAACTTTGTGTATCAATACCATAAATATTGGGACTAGAGAAATAGAAAAGCAGGTAGGGTGCTTGCCTTGCATGCAGCAGACCTGGTTTAAAACTCTGACACTGCATGTGCTCCTCCAAGTATTGGAGCACAGCAGGATCACAATTAAGTACACCTGACTGTGACCCAGCCATCCCCTTACACACACACACACACACACACACACACACACACACACGCACACACCCCACCAACCACCACCACCACCAAAAACAACAAAAACATGGCTTTTAACATTAGTAACCACATCACCTAAAGTACAATATAAGTAATTGTTTTAGGGCCAGAAATATAGTACAGTGGATAAGACATTTGCCTTTCACATGGCCAGTCATGGTTCAGTCACTGGCATCTGAGCATTGCCAGGAGTGATACCCACCCAGAGCCAAGAGTAAGCCATTAGCACCACTGGGTGTGGACCAAAGACTGAAATAAAGTAAAATAAATATTAAAAAAACTAAAATAAAAATATAGAACATATAGGCATAATAAAATGATCATAAAAAGCATCTCAGAAGTTCACTTGTTTTTATTTTCTGTAAAATTTTGATTTTTTAATTATCCTTTTAAATGTAAGTGGTGAAAATTATGTGAACATAGAAAAGTATCTTTAATGTTAAATATAGAGAAAAGAGTGGCCGAGATTAGTACCAGGAGGTTTGCTCCCTGGCTTGGAGGCCAACCACACATGCTAGGGGAAAAGGGAGCTCAGATAGAGAAGGGAGCACCAAATAAAGGATGTTGGGAGGATCCTCCCAGGATGGGAGAAGCATGCTGAAAGTAGACTATAGACCAAACATGATTGCCACTCAATGCCTCTTTTGCAAACCATAACACCCAAGAGGAGAGAGAGAACAAAAGGGAATGCCCTGCCACAGAGGCAGGGGGGATGGGGGGATGGGAGGTGGGAGGGATACTGGGACCCGTGATGGTGGAAAATGGGCACTGGTGGAAAGATGGGTATTTTTGTATAATTGAAACCCAAGCACAGAAGTCTACAACTATACCTCATGGTGTCTCACTAATAAAAATTTTAAAATAAATAAATATAGAGAAATTTAGAACAGTGTTATATGTTTCTATTTTTATAAGTTGATGAATGTGTTAAAATTTTTTTGAAGGATATACTTATAAATTTGTTGGTGGCTGAAAGGTTAATTTAATTTCCCCCCTTTTAATGACATTTGAATATTTTACATTGAGTTTGTGTTTGAACATGTTTTGATAACTAAAGAAAAGAATAAATCGAGGAATAGTAAACAGGACCAAATGACCTAGTCAAGTAAAAGGGTGCCTGGGAAAATGCCTATCAGATTTCAGATTTATGAGAGCATTATATATATTATTTTTTCAGGGAGAGGGGGACATGTGGCAATTCTCTTGGTGATGGTCAGGGTACCATATGGGGTGCTAGGGATCTAACCCAGGTGGTTGACCTTGGACAAGGCAAGCGTCCTGCCCCCTGTACTCTTTCCAAAGGCCCATGGAAATCATTATTAGTGTTATGAGGTGTTGGTGAAGAAAATACTGGCTATCATAATAAATATTGTTGTCTGTGTGTGTGTGTGTGTGCGCGCGCATGCACACATGCATTTTAAAGACCACTAAAAACAAGACTGATTAGAGGACTGTAAAAAGGTGGCAGGGTCTGAGATTTTGTGGAAGAGTTTTCTTCCTAATATATGAGAACTCTGAGTATAGCTTGTGAAAGTGGAATCTAGAAGGGAGAGTAAGATTTAGAACCGAATATGACAAGGCATATGATTTTAAACTTTACTTTGTCCTCTCTCACTATTGATGATTATATTAGTCAGCATGATTAGGTACAATCAGGTAGAGTAGTGGTTAATAAAGTGAATGAAGAAGGACCGCCTCAAGCTTTAGGTTAAGAAGACTTTGGTTAGATGAATTTTGAAGACCCTTCCTGTCTGAAAGTCCACGTTCTCTGAGTTAGACCGGAACTTGAAAAAAACAAACAGCCAGCTTTAAAGTGACTTAAGGAAGGAATTCAGGCTTTGTAGAGACACAAAAATTTCTTTTGAGAAGTGAATACTCCCAGTGTCACATTCGGAAATTTGATAACACTTCCTCTAGCTCCTTATCAAGTTAAGAAGCTCTTATTTCTTGTAAGTGCCCCTCTTTCTCCTTTTCCCAAAGATACTAATTTATGCTCTGCTTTGCCAAGAATCAGTGTATTTTGGGAATCCATTTCTTCACCTCCCCAGGGTTACAGTGAGTCATGGCTCTGACTCCGGTCTTCCTCAGAAATCTCTAGGGTGATGGATAATGAAGACTGTCTCCAGTTTTTCTCACTTCCCTAGGAAGTTACTAGTCTCTGGGCTTCGAACAGCAACATTCCTCTCAACTAGATGGTGGAGTATTATCTAGTTTATATTACATAAAAACTTGGAGTTAGACTTCATCCTTTGAGGGATTTATAAAGAAATTTCCCATCAATTGATTTCTTCTCAAGAAGTAACTGATTGTTTCTGGAAGTCACTTTGGCAATACTCTAGTAAAAAAAAAAGTATGAACATTTATTTATCTTTCTTATAAATTTGTTTTATAAATTATATAATATAAATTATATTTCATAGAGAAAAAATATATATGCCTCTCGAGTAGCCTGGCAAGTTACCTAGAGTATCCTGCCCGCATGGGCAGAGCCTGGAAAGCTCCCATGGTGTATTTGATATGCCAAAGCCAGTAACAATAACAGGTCTCATTCTCCTGACCTTGAAAGCACCTCTAATCATGGGGAAAGACGAGTAAGGAGAGGCTAGTAAAATCTCAGGGCTCATTCAAAAGAACAAAAGCAACCGATGCTGGCGCGGATGTGGTGAGAAAGGGACACTCCTCCACTGCTGGTGGGAATGCCGACTGGTTCAGCCCTTTTGGAAAACAATATGGACGTTTCTCAAAAAATTAGAAATTGAGCTCCCATTTGACCCAGCAATACCACTCCTGGGAATATATCCCAAAGAGGCAAAAATGTATAGTAGAAGTGACATCTGCACTTGTTTGTTCATTGCAACACTCTTTACAATAGCCAGAAACTGGAAGAAACCTGAGTGCCCAAGAACAGATGACTGGTTAAAAAAACTTTGGTACATCTACACAATGGAGTACTATGTAGCTCTTAGAAAAGATGAAGTCATGAAATTTACATACAAGTGGTACAATATGGAAAGTATCATGCTAAGCGAAATGAGTCAGAAAGAGAGGGATAGACATAGAAATATTACATTCATCTGGGGGATATAAAATAACAAAATATGAGATTAATACCCAAGAATAGCTGAGATCAACACCAGGAGGATTACTCCATAGCTTAGAGGCCAGCCGGGTATTCTAGGGGAAAGCACAGTTCAGATAGAGAAGGGAGCACCAAATAAAGGGTGTTTGGAGGATACTCCCAGGAGAGGAGATGCAGGCTGAAAGTAGACTATGGACTGAACATGTTTGCCACTCAATGCCTCTTTTGCTGACCACGACACCCAAAAGGAGAGAGAGAACAGGGGGGAATGCCCTGCCACAGTGGCAGGGTGGGATGGGGGGTTGGGGGGGAGGGATATTATCCATGGTGGCGGAAAATGGGCACTGGTGGAGGGGTGGGTATTTGATCAGTGTATAAACGAAACCCAAGCACAAAAATTTGTAAATCTACAACTGTACCTCATGGTGTTTCACTAATAAAAAAAAAGAAAAATCTCAGGGCTGGGACGAATAAAGACATTATTGGCACCCACTCGAATAAATCTACGAATGAGATGACAGTGATACAGTGACAATGATAAATTTGTTTAAGCTGTATCAAAGAACAAATTAGTTCAAATTCTTCATTCTGCTTTCTAACATTAAATATTTGGACACATATATAGAGCCTAATTAAGTTCTTTATTCTTGGTTAGTGTCTACCTATTTTATTCACACACATTCCTCCCTCCATCCCTTCCCTATTGTTTGGTTGTTGTCGTAACCAGGTCTTGCATACATTTGGTTACTATGCTCCTACACTTGGTTGTGGTAGTTACACATCTGCCCATTTTATACTCTCACTTTTGACCAACTGAAGAAAAGGGGAATTGATAAGACACATATGGAGGGAGAAAACTATGCTTTAATTCTGAAGGTTAATAAGCATAATTTCTGTGGGTTCTTCTAGGTTTCAAAGTGTCTCTTGACACGTTCCTCAGCAGACATTAATTCTTATCTTTCACTCCTATATATTGCATCCAACCTAATTGTTCACAGCCCACAAGAAGGTCAGGCCACCACCCATACACAGACTTTGATCAAAAAGATAACACTATAGGAAGTATTATACTTACTACTATTTCAAGTAATAGTAATAAGCTATTGTCGGGTAACTACCTATGAGACTGCTTCGTGTAAGTCTTCTGGGAATATAGAAATAGTTCACATAGACAAAAGTCACTTTATCTCCTGCAATGCCCTGGTTAGGGAAGGAAATGAAGAAAACATAGGTAGTCCTGATCATTGGCCTATCTATATTTGCTAGTGTCCCACCTTGCTGTTCCATCCAATTAAGATGCCCTACTGCATTAATTTATATTACCTGCTCTAAAAATACCAATGAAGTCCCTAATTGAAGGAAGAATTAATAAGAAACTAAGGTCAAACTCAGTAATATGTGGCTTATTCATTATTTGTTTCCATGGTACCTTGGGGACAGAGGGAGAAGAGAGATGTGATATGTCTCTAAGAAACCTGTTTTCTTTTCCTCAAGCAACCTCATAACATTCTGCAAAGGCGCCTCATGGAAACCAATCTGTCTAAGCTTCGAAGTAGCCGTGTCCCTTGGGCATCCAAGACCAACAAACTCAATCATTCTAAGTCAGAGGGGCCAAAAAAGTCTGAGGATGATGACATGATTTTGGTTTCTTGCCAGGTAAGTTTCTAAGAGCAGTTTTTCAAAACTTTCTGGAGAGTATAATTTGGGCTTTTACAGCGGGCAGGGTGTTTGCCTTGTATGCAGCCAACATGGCTGACCCTAGTTCTATTCCTCAGTCCCTCTCGGAGAGCCTGGCAAGCTACCAAGAGTATCTCGCCTGCACGACAAAGCCTGGCAAGCTACCCGTGACGTATTCGAGATGCCAAACACAGTAACAACAAAGTCTCACAATGGAGAAGTTACTGGACCTGCTTGAGAAAATCGATGAACAATGGGAGAACAGTGACAGTGACAGATCACTAATAGCTAATTATCCAAATAGTGGGGCCTCTCCAAACTCTATAGAGTTTGGGTCTTACCATGGAGTTCATAAATGAGTCTTCAGGGAGTGCTGTATGCAACCCTTGGAGTGTATGTAATATTTTGTATGTATGTACACCTTTATGGGAAGAGCAATACTTTCATTAAGATGCCATACTGCTAACTCAGAACTGTGAGAATGCTCTCCAACTTCTCCTTTCATATGACATCTGCTTATTCTCTGGACCTCCCCTCCCTTTTGCTTCTTTGGCTTCTGTTGAACGGTATTTTTTCTTCTCCATAGTGTGCTGGCAAGGATGTGAAAGCCTTGGTTGACACAGGCTGTCAGTATAATCTTATCTCTTCAGCCTGTGTGGACAGACTGGGGTAAGTAGTCATTTGTGTTGGTTGGAAGCCAGGGGCTAATGCAGTCTTTATGTATTTTGAGATTTAAGATGCTAAATATCTTCAAAGAGCCCCCAAAGAATTATATAGAGTTCGACTATCTTCAGGAACCAGTCCTCAGTGAAGGGACAGCTGGGAGAGGTCTGTGGCTTACTGTGTACCTCACCCAGTTCCTGGTTTGGGATCTTTTAATCAACAGATTAAAAGTTGTTGTCCTATAGGTATACTCAAGATGAGCAAAAACAGGAATTTGCTTAGCATTAGCTTATTCAGGTTTATTCTTATGGTTATATAGGCTGTCCTGTGAAAAATCGGGACTTGGAATAGGGCTATTATCTACTATTGTTGCTGGGCCTGAACCATCAAAGGGGTAATAGTTGATCAATTTTTGCTTAATGCCATACTTCTCTGACAGATCTTTCTGCTGCCCTTACTCAGAACTGGATGTGAGACACCCTGTATATTGAATATTTTTAGTTCTCCAACAGCTGAAATTTCATCCTCCCTTTTTCAGTCAGAGAATAATTTTGTGTTTTTCCCTCCTTTTCACTCATTTTGTATTATTGGTTTCATTCTCTTCCAGCCAAAATACAAGATAGGCTCAGAGGTGTAGCCCAAAATCAGGAGGGTCAACCCAATTTTCTTTTCTACACCTTTTTCCCTGGGTGCAATAGTTCATCCTGTAGCTCAGATCCTTCAAAACTATCAGTAGAAAAGATACAGTGGCTCATTTTTAATTTATTTTCAAGATGTTCATTTTCTTAGATATGACATTCATTGGGCTTTATGTAATAAGTTATCCCTGCTGAATGATCTGTTCCTTCTCATTTTTTGCACTGTACTCATCCTTCACAACTATTTGGCACTGAGGGTTTTCTACATTATTCTTTGTTAGGAGGTAAGTACTGTTGTGAAAAGAATCCTAATCTTTACGTATTGGAAAGATGAAATATAGTACAACATGAAGGTTCCAGAAAGATTAATAATGTCCTGGTGCATAATTAGGCAGCAGATTGCCATTATACCAGAGGCATTAATAACCATCTGTAAAACTGCAATTTTGCTTTTGGATGGGCTGTAATACAAAGAAGGAAAATGGAGTAAAGCAAAAGTATTGGCACAGAAAATCCATAATTATTTATCCACTAACCCATAATAATAGTTCTAGTGCTCACTGTTCCAATCAGCTTATATAACTGCGTGAAACCTTGGTACTGTTCCTTTCTGTCCTCCCCTGCACAGACAAGTTAAATTAATTAGAACTTTCTCCATATTTTTTCATGATACCAGTATCAGTGCAATTACTAAATAAACTTTATGCAAATACTAAATAAACTCCACTAACCTTTCAGCCTGAAACAACCTACCACGGGTAGACTGAAATAGGAAAAAAGAAAAAAAAGGAGATATTATACAAAACATTTAAAATTAACCTGCCCTATTTTAGATGTTATTCATAGATGAGCAGAAAGACTTGTTAAGTAAACAGTCTTATATGTAGGTATGTTTATGATATAGTATAGAATTCTCTGTGTGTGTTTGTTGTCCTTCACCCATGAAAGTCATGATATCATATCAATTTTTGAGGTAGGAGTGAGGTTTTATGTTTTTTTTTTTTGTATTCCCATGTATATTTAGGTCTAAGTGATAAAACAGGAAGTATTGGTAAAATAGCCAACTAGCACATCTCTTTGGTAAAATTAATCCCAGAATATCCTTGAAAAATTCTAATGATCAAAAGTTAAGCATTTCCATATTTCACCAAAGAGATTCTGCTGTCTCCCTCTCTGATGCAGACTCAAGGAACATGTCAAATCTCACAAGCATGAAGGAGAGAAACTTTCTCTACCCCGACATCTAAAAGTGGTGGGCCACATTGAACACTTAGTGATCACACTGGGCTCCCTCCGTCTAGACTGCCCAGCAGCCGTGATTGGTGAGTAAAACGAGAGTCTTTGTGTAAACACACAAAAAGGACAGCAAGGGGAACCACGTTCAGTAGTCTCAGGCCGTTTCCCCACTCCACGAGGTCGATGGTAATGGTCAGGAGGAGGAAGGAAACAAGGGCCAGGCTGGTTGGTCTTAGTAGCAATTTATTACATGGAAGAGATGTATGTCATGGAGGTCCCAGGATCTCTCAAGCACGTGCTCCTTTGTTCTCTCAGCTTCTGTCCTCAGCCCTATCTTCCCACGTGTCCCCCAGAGAGCCCTGAAATCTCCCTTATATAGATCATAGTACCTCTAAAGGGCGCAATATAGTGGTGTCATCAAGAGGAGTTACATAAAGAACATTGAGGCAAAACATACATTGTTTCTTTACATCCGCAGGTCAGTAATCCTGGCCTCACCTTTTACAAACTACAAGCACTTGGATTAGGAAAACAAAGACCAGTCTGCTAGAGCTTGGAATCTACATCTCCAAGATCAGCCTGCTTGGAGCCAGGCATCTACATCCCAAAGATCAGGCCTGGTTTAGCACCTGGGATCTGCATACCTAAGACCAGCTAGGTTCCTGTGAGATAAGGGAAACTGCCTCAATATACTGAAATCATTTACTGAAGGCAGTTTGAAGGGGAGAAAGGTTCAGTTTCATCCAAGCTAGTCAGGACACACAGGAAAACTGCTTCTAGGACATATTCTCATTTAGCAGATCAACCCACCCTAGAACAGATTTCCCTGGATGTGTTTCTCCTCTCCTTGTCCGACCAACATATAAGGATATATATAATTTAATTCACTTTGTATGGACACAGTAAGAAATACTTTGAGCTTATAGAATTGCTCTCCTAGGGCCATCTCGATCTCAGACTGCAGTGCTCAGGTCAGATATCTTTCCTATTCCTAGCAGCAGGGTCCTAGTCTCGTCATTACCTTTGGATCATGACAGCATTTGCCTATGATCAAACTCTTAACCTATAGTTAAGAATCGTGGCACCTTGGCCTGGCCCATCACGATGCCAGGGTAGCACATAACTTACTGGCTTGCCCTGGTTCCATCCAGTCCCATGTCAGGACCCTGCTTTTGGGGTGCTAGGAAGTGAGGGCAACTGAGGCTTAAGTTGAGAAAGCAGATGCCCAGGAGTGAATAATATTCAAAGCCAATTAAGTCCTAAGTTATAAAGCATAATATTAATTGTCTTCCTGTATCTATACAAAAAGGGCATTGCTTCAAACTATTCAAAAGACATAAGGAGAGGAGAAAAGCAATATTAACTTACAGTACAAGTTCAGTGTCCTAAAAGGATGAGACCTTACAAATTGGATGGGGAAAAGAGCATAGAAGTAGTTACAGACAAACAAAGTAATGGGAGTGACTCGGGAGCACTGTGATAGGTGCAACTTGATAAACCTAAGCTCCTTGTACTCCAACAAGTCTTGTCTATGGATGCACTCTCCCAACTTCCACCAAACCCTCACGAAATCTTCTGTCTCTAAGTACTGACTTCTTAAGTTTTAGGATTCTGTTTTGCAGTATTTTAGATCTTGCCTGTTTTTTTTTCTAAAGTACTGGATGGATTTTGAGCTACAATCGAGACATGTTGATAATCATTCAGAAAAAAAGGAGTGTATAATTCACAATAAAAAAAATTCAAGTGGCAAATACCTGCCATAGAGGCAGGCTGTGGGGCAGAAAGAAATTGTCACCCCAGAAACATTGGTGGAGGGAACTGGACACTAGTGAAGGGATTGATGTTGGAATATTGGATGCTTGAAATTCAATCATGAATAACTTTGTAATTCATTAATCATGAATAATTTTTTAATTCATGTGATTTAGTTTTTAAAATTTTTTTAAAAATTCGAAGAAGAGCATCCAGGAAAAGAGCTCAAGTGTTAGAGCACTTGCCTAGCCTGCATGAAGTGCTGAGTTTCAGTCCTCAGCATCACATAATCCCCTGTACTGACATGTTGCCAGTTTGGCGGCAGGCGTCATCAGGAGTGGCCCCCCAGACTAGTCGAATTCCTTTGGAGTTTTCCCTATAAAAAATTTAAGGGGCTGGGGCTGGAGCGATAGCACGACCGGTAGGGCGTTTGCCTTGCACACAGCCAACACGGCCGACCCGGGTTCGATTCCCAGCATCCCATATGGTCCCCCGAGCACCGCCAGGAGTAATTACTGAGTGCATGAGCCAGGAGTAACCCCTGAGCATCACCAGGTATGACCCAAAAAGCAAAAAAAAAAAAAAAAAAAAAAAAAAATTAAGGGGCTGGCCAGGGAGTTGGCCTAAAGAGCTAGAACACATATTTTTGCATGTTAAAGCCCTAAGTTTGATCCTTAGTATCACATGGTCCATCACATACCACAAGAGGTATGTGGTTCCAAACACTACTAGTTGTGATTTAAAAAAATAAGAACTCTTAAAAAAAAGAACCCAGGGGGCAAAATATCCCAATTTTTTGTGTCTAGGTAAAAATTAAGGCTCTTGAAAGTTTTCCATGAGCTATTTGGAAGCAGAGTACAATATTTCCTACCATTTCCTACCACTTCCTTTCATAAATTCTATTATAGACTACTTTTCTGGATTTTTATCTACCAGTCTTTTATAATTCGAGAGTAAAATAATGTAGATTTTAATCTTGGTTCTGTCACTTTTGACTACAAATATCTGGGAAAATTAGTTACTAGAGGCTGACTGCCTGAATGAATTTATAGAGATGGTGGTTGAATGGAACGTTAGGATTATGAGACTTTTTTAAACTAGAAATTGCAATTGACTGAATCTTATCTTTTTAATTAGATGATAATGAGAAAAATTTGTCCCTGGGTCTCCAGACTCTCCGATCACTCAAGGTAGGATTAAGTTAAGTTTACCTTTGATCCTTTCTCTTTAAGGCAAGAGTCCTTTTCCACGAAGACTACATGGTAGTATCATTGATAGTGAACAAATATTCTCCTTTGTTTTCAGTGCATCATAAACTTGGATAAGCACCGACTGATCATGGGGAAGACAGACAAGGAAGAAATACCTTTTGTGGAGACACTTTCTTTGAATGAAGACAAGTGAGTGTCCAGTGCATCAAGTTAAGTTAAATCCATAGTTTATGAGGTAGAGAAACTTGGATATAGGCTTGTGTTCTTCCTTTGGCTTCTACTCAAACCGTACATACTTGCCTCCTGTTCTTCAGAGTTTATCTCTCGTAAAATCCTCTACCCTCATTTCAGAATAAGCAAGTATGATTCTGCGGAGAGTGATAGGAAAATAAGTAGCTTTAAAACTGAAATTGAACTGATTTTTTGTCTCTCTTTGAACTTAATATCATTAATTCTCTTTCTTTCTCATTTCAGCACTTCAGAAGCATAACTACTGCCTGCAGTTTGTCTGCACGGTTACACACACCAGGTTGACAGATTGGGAAATCGGGTTTGAATCAAATGCAGTAGCAGCTTGCTGTGGACCAAGTCCTTTCACTTAATAGAAGCTCTAGGGGCGCCTTCCCACCCAGACTTCTCTAGACTTTAGTCTTTGCTTAGAGATCTTGTCTGGTTATAGCCATTTTTTTTTTTACTTCTTTGATCACTTAATGTGACACTGCCAGCTCTCACTGTGGCCTCTTTCTCTGCTTCTTCCAGGAATTTGCTTTTATTAGTCACATATAGAAGCTTCCCAGGTACTACTTCTAGACACAATTGCTTCTTTTCTTGTAGTTAAAATGTATAATAAACAGGAACCTGACCTTTACCTCCTTTCATCTCTTTCAGAGAGACATGGGTTGCCTGTGTCTCAGAATTAGAATTTCTTCTAATTCATTCATTAATTTCTCAAATACAAATTGATATGAAATTGCTGAGAGATAATCTACCAACTTTTTAATTTAAAGGGCCAGAAATGGCTGGGAAGATAGCTCAAAGGGCTAAATCATATTCCTGGCAGACAGGGCTCTAAACCATATTGTTTTTCACCTTGGTAATCCCCAGCAGTGCTTGGGAGGCCCAAGAAATGAAAAAGCAAAAAGCTCAAAACATGCAAAAAAAAATCCTAAGAGGTAAGTGAATTGTTTAAGACAGTGGATCCACAGACCAGTGTTGAATAGTTTATATAGTGAGCCATGACATAAGGACCTGGAACTCAGGCCTCACAAACCCAGGCACTTTTCATTTTCTTTGTCTTAAAGACTTTCTAGGGGGACCAAAATAGGATTTGTAGAAATTTAGTGTAGAAGAACATGATTTGGGGATGAATGCTAAGGAGTTCTATATAGCTCTTTTTCCTGTATGCTAAGTCTATAAACCTGTAAACTGTCACAAGTAGACCTTCCACTTGGTTCCTAAAAGTTGAGAGTGCAAAGATCAATGGCATGGTCTCTCATCTTGGACTTCTTGGAGGAGTGGCAGGTGAAGAGACCACACAGAGAAGAAAGCCTGTCAATATCTGAGGATTGGATTCTGTCATGGTACCAAGTAAAGAGATGGAGCTAGGGGCTGTCATGTTAAGGACAATTTTTTTTTTTTAACTATGATAGCACAGCGGGTAGGGCATTTGCCTTGCACGCAGTCAACATGGCCAACCCAAGTTCGATTTCTCCACCCCTCTCAGAGAGACCAGCAAGCTACCAAGAGTATCTCGCCTGCACAGCAAAGCCTGGCAGGCTACCTGTGACGTATTTGATATGCCAAACACAGTAACAACAAAGTCTTACACTGGAGACGTTACTGGGCCCACTTGAGAAAATCAATGAACAACGGGAGGACAGTGACAGTGACAGTGACAGACAACTGTTCAGTATTTTCTGATTCTACTCAAAAAGTTAGGTAATCACAGGGATCTGTTGAACCTTTTATGTTGGGATGTCAGGTGAAGATTCCTGTAATGTAACCTCCCCTTTAATTTGGTCACAGAAGTGCTCAGTGAAGTCAGAAAAATACTGTGCTGTTCACATCCCTTTAGAGATTTCCTAAATTTGTCCTTGGTTCATAATTGTAGTTCCCAGAATATTCAAAGAATCCTACTTAGAATGTTGCCAGGTCCAACCTATAATCTTGTGTTATCTGCTGACCCTACATAGCGTTTTTAATCTCACAGAAACTTTTATAAGACTAGGAACTTGACCTCCATTTGAAGAACTGTGCAGCTTGTTGTCAGTAAGCCCCAGATCTCCTTCCTCCAGTCTATAGAGGAAGCAGGATGGGAGCTAAATACAGTAGGGATGGCCGTGCCTGAACCTCAGCAGAGTGATCCCAGGATTACCAGCCAGCTTTCAGTGTTCCTTCCAGCTTCACCCCATTATCTTGTATAGGACTCCTTTCTACACTGTTCCCTTACTAACCATGACACCATTTTGATTGCTTCTTAGGACTGAGTGAAATACTTCACCCCTTTATTCCATAGTCAAAAATTCTAGCCTGAGCCTTAACTTGGTCATAAATGAGGCTTGTTGGAAATCCTTAGCATGGATAATCCTTATTTGGATTCTTTATGGACCGACCCAGTAAAGCCAGGAATTTTCTGTTGCTGGAAGATGTGTCTGATTTGGCCCTTTGAGTTCAAATCAAGGGGATGACCAGATGACTGTTAGTGATATTTCTGGCATGTCGGAATCAGTGATTTTCTAATTTTGTAATTGAAACAGTTGGTATGATCTGAGCTTAGGGAATCATAATCTCATTCAGTTCAGCCAAGTCGTGTGAATTCAGTCAGTAATTGTGATTTGTGATTTAACTTTCAGCCTTGATAGAGGTATTTAAAAGTGTCCAAAGACAATCATGGCAAATCTTGGGCACCATTAATCTTTAAATGCTGCCAACTTGATTAAGCTGATAACCTCTTCTCCCTGATATTCTTAAGGGAGCACTAGGTCTACTTATTAGGGATAAGACAGGTAAGCAGATATAATTATTTCCTCCAAGAATCATAGAAAATTCTCTCTAGCATTCCTGAATGAGGGTGTGGGGAAAGAGTGTCTATGCAGGCCACAGACTTGAAGACAGTAGCAAAAAGTAAGACTGTAGAACCACTATCATTCCTTGTTAGATTCATCTCAAATATAGGGAATTTGAAAAAATATTCTGATTTTGTCATTTCTATGCCTGACTCATTTGAGAAACAGATGTTTTCTGACTTTTCTATTTCCTTGACCTGCACAGATTCCCACCTGGTAAGATTTTCTATTCCTTAGCTCAAAGTATCTGTAGAATGAATTTATTAGTATGTTAGCTCTCCTCACTCTTGTATAATAGAAATATTTTTTCAGGCTGGGAACATGGAGGAAATGAACTGGATTCTTCCCTCCTTCTGTTTCCAGGCCTCTGCATTGGCACTTTATCTGCTGTGTTTCTAGCTGTATTTGGTTTATTTGTGAGACTAATGTAATAATAAAGTCAAATATTCTCCTGTGTTTGTCTGATAAAGTTTCTATATCAGGGTCCTTGGAAGGAGGGGAAACCTAATGAAACTTCGTCATTATTTTTTTCTCCTAGAGCTTTCTGAACACAAGACTTTGTAACCCTCATTTGCGTCTTTGCTATAAACCAAATAGTGCTCTCTAATTGGCTCTGTTCTTGGGCAATTAGGGCTGTTGTGAGCTTGATTTTGTGACCTGTAAACAGAAATGATTTTAAGACTTACTTTGAAGTACCAAATGAGATAATTAACATAAAGTGGTGAGCAGATTGTATTCCCTCAAAGACTTTATATAACACTCTTTTATAGTGTGGAATGTATGAGAGAATATTTCTAGAAGGGAAATATTTAGTTTAAACGAACAGTAGAGATTTGGAAAGGGTTGGATAAACTTTAATATATACTAAAGTAAAGCCTTTGTTTAAATAACATTCCAAATGCGTTTTACAGTTGGTAGAAGCTTTTCTTTTAAGTGTTAATATTTAAATTATTTAAACACTGTGGTTTGATAGCAAGAAACATTATGACATTAGTTACCATAACCTAGTATTGTGGTTCTTCTACTCAAATGATACCATCATTCTGCTTCACGATTTTGTGTTATTTTTGCCCATTTATTCTAAATATAAAAGTCTAAAAATACTTAATGAACCTCTCTCTTAAATAATAAGCAACAGAATAAAAATTAATAGTCATCAAAATAAAATGAAATTAAGTTTGGCTTTTTTTTTTGAGGGGGGCCATACCTGGCAGTGCTCAGGTCTTGCTCCTGGCTCTGCATTCAAGGATCACTCCTGGCTGTGCTTGGTGGGGGTACCTTATGGGAAGCCAAGGATGGAACCTGGGTCAGCCACATGCAAGATAGCACATTACTGCTGTACTGTCTTTCTGGCTCCTGGCTTTTTATTTAAAAAAAAAAAAACTATTGTGTTTACATAGTTGCAAAGAATTGCCAAAGTTCCAACAGAAATCATTTCTAATACCAGTGTTTTATTTTAGCAGATCTTTATTGTCATTTTTAACTTCCTCCTGACTCCTGGCAATCACTAAGAACATAGATTTATTAATTTGAAAATATGAGTTTTAAACCCAGAAAGACTGCTGCTTTCGAGAAATCAAACTAGTCTCTTTTATAGCTTGTAGTCCATGCTATAAAAGAGACTAGTTTGATTTCTGTAAACTGCTGTAAACTGCTCTTCTGTAAACTGTTCTTCTTCCTTCCACTTATAATACAAGGAAGTTTTGGATTAATGGAAATTCCTGAAAATGATTGTTGCTTTAGATGAGCATCAATATATCTACAGGAATATTAAGGACTCAGTGAGTAGGAGATATCCTCTATAAGAAAAAGATGTGAAGTATAGGTAAAAGATGATGGTAACATGATTATTGTCTTCAGAGCTATCCTATGTAAATTATTGCTTTTAGCAGAAGATAGTATTTCCAATCATGGAGGTTTCACAGAGGTATATTCTGATTCAGCTGGAGGGGAGAAATATACAGTGAACCAGGGACTATACTAAGGCCTACCAAAAAGGGTAGTATTGTTCATAAATTTTCAGAAGGAAAAGCTGTCAGACTCAGTATAGTAGGGGCTGGAGCAATAGCACAGCGGGTAGGGCATTTGCCTTGCATGCAGCCGACCCGGGTTCGATTCCCAGCATCCCATGTGGTCCCCCGAGCACCACCAGGAGTAATTCCTGAGTGCATGAGCCAGGAGTTACCCCTGAGCATTGAAGGGTGTGACCCCCCCCAAAAAAAAAGACTCAGTGTAATAAAACGGAAACAACTGAGGAATTGGGAAGTGGCTCAGGGTAGAATGCATGCCTACTTCTGTGAGATCCTGTTTGATCTTGAGCAGCATAAGAAATTTTAAAAACTATGGGTGGGGGGTGGGGTTTTATTGGGGTTCTTCATGGTAAAAAATAAGTTTTGGTAAAGGGAAATGTGCTTGATATTTGCATGACTGAGACCTAAACCTGAAAGCTTTGTAACCTTTCCCATGGTGATTCAATAAATAAATAAATTAATTAAAAAAAAAAAAGAAATTTTAAAAACTAGAATCAGTAAATGGATTATCTTAATTATTTTTTTAATGTATGTAAAAGTTGGAATTATTGCCTAGCAGTGTTCTAAAGATTTCTTCATAGGATAGACATTTGCATAAGAGACCTATTATTTGTCATTGATACAGAATTTCAGAGCATAGCTTAACAGCACTTCTATAGATATATAGGAATCACCACATACACTGCCAAAGTTCCAACAAATCATTTCTATCAGTTTTTTATTTTAGCAGATCTTTAGTGTCATTTTTAACTTCCTCCTGACTCCTGGCAATCACTAAGAACATAGACTTATTAACTTGAAAATACGAGTTTTAAACCCAGAAAGACTGCTGCTTTCAAGAAATCAGACAAACTAGTCTCTTATAGCTTGTAGCCTTTTGTAAACTGCTCTTCTTCCTTCCACTTATACTAGAAGGAAGTTTAGGATAGTCGCATCCTAAACTATAATATGTTACTCTCTTATTATGTTCAATAATTTGGCCAGTGTCCTACCTGCAGCCATGTTTCACATTGTCAGATACATGGGAATTGTGACATCTGTTTTCTCAAAGACATTTTTAGTCAAGGGGTGTGGTATGAAAGATTGGGACTACCAAATGCCTGACTAGAATAGAGAAAAGAAATCTAGGCCTTTACCTAGTAGTGACTTCCCTAAAGGTCTAATGGTTACCTAATGACTACAAGCTTCTTTCTTTCAAATACTTTTGTTACACTCTTTACTGGGTCTATGTCCCTTTTGAAAATATAATTACCATATTTAGAGAAAGGAGTGCAATCCTGACATTGCTTTAACGGGATTGATATG